GGGGGGGGGGGGGGGGGGAATTCTGGGAGTTGAAGTCCACATGTCTTAAAGTTGCCAAGCTTGAAAAACACTGATTTACAGCATGGCTTCCAATGTTTACAGCAACAGATATCGCAAATTGGTTGGAGAACAAAGGGGAAAGTCAAAAATCAAATATTTACCTACTTTGTTTTAGGAACGTTTTCCCCTTATTTTCCTCCCTTTTTTCCCCTTTTATTTTTAATATTTATAAACAATAATATAGTGGGGACTCTGCTACTAAGCTCACAAATTCATATTTCTTTTTTCCTTTTTAATATTATGAAAACAACTCAGTATACTTTGCTTGGTGTCTTTTATTAATTGAGCCTCGATAGTCGAAGGATAGTAACTGTCCATCTGTAAACATTAGCTTGTTTGAAATTCTCTCTGTTTTCAGTTAAGAGAAGAGAAGAGAAGAGAAGAGAAGAGAAGAGAAGAGAAGAGAAGAGAAGACAATAGAAGTGATGACCTAAAACGATTTATTGTAACAGTTTTCTGGGTTCCAACCTGGGTTACAATTTTGCAGCCCAAAATGACAAGGGGTCTTGTGGCGTCTTAAAAACTAGCCACAATTATCACGTAAGTACTGGTGGATGAACATTAATTTTTGCAAAAGGCCCACTTCTGCTCAAAGGAAGCTTAACCCAAAACTTATAGTTCTGAAGCTTGGATATGGAAGGAGAAGGCAGGAAGGGAAGGCTGGATAATACAGAATGAAGGAGGAAAACTGGCAGTGGATAATAGATTTCTGCAACAGAGACCTTGAAAAATCATTTTAGCTCTCCTGAGTGATGCCACGTGCAGAAATTGGAAAGAAGGCAATTTTCATGCTGTGGGAACATTTGAAAAAGTACTGAAAACAACCTGCTGATACAGTGCGGCCTTCATTCAAAGTGATGGTAAGTCCACATCTGAAATACTGTGTACAGCTCTGGTCATGTGTGAAAAAAGGATATAACAGAGCTGGAAAAAGTGCCAAACAGGACAACCGAACTCATCAGGAAACTAAAACACCTTCTTTACAAGAAAAGATGAGATGTTTTAAGATTCTTTAGCTTGGAGAAAAGACAACTAGGGAGTGAGACATGATGAAGATGTATACCATCGTGCATGGCATGAAGAAAGCGGGAAACATATTTTTCTCCCTTCTTCAAAGCATGAGGACAAGAGGTCATTCAACGTAGATGAATGAAAGAGGTTTAGAACAGACAAAAGAATGCACTTTTTCAGCCAAACATAATGAACTAGGGGAATTCACTACCAGAAGGCTAGCTAAGAACTTGGATACCTTTAAAGCATGACTGGGTAAATTCATAAAGGACAGATCTACTGAGGGAGACCCAGTGCTTTAAACTCTGAAAAAGGCAAGATATAAATGCCCATAACAGTAATAACAGGAGGAGGAGGAGGAGGAGGAGGAGGAGAAGGAGAAGGAGAAGGAGAAGGAGAAGGAGAA